GGAGAGCAAAGTGAACGCAAAGTGAAACCTTGTAATCTATGAATCACTGCTTTGCTGATATATTGGCAGATGTTACACATCTGTTTTACTTTCTTGTTTTTCAAGTGTATATTGGCCATTTGCTTTCTTCTGCTTCATGTATTCATGTCTTAACCTTCTTCAGTGACTCTGCGTCATAAAGTTTGTTTGCTTTTTTGGGTCCTACTATTTTGCAGCCTTTTTTTTATTGTAGTCTGCTGAGTAGAGTTGACTTTAAGCTCGTGCTTAGAGCAAAGTCTCACCGATCATGGGATGCATAGAGGAAGAAATAGAGTGGGCCTTACCACATTCATAAGTTGCCTCACTGAGGCCTGAAGCACTCTTTCTTATGTGATTAATTTATATCCCATGAATTTCCAGCTTCTGTCTGTGCAGAGATCCTCCATTACAGCAACTCCTCATTCTATTTGAATTAAAAGTCAATCATCTCGGCTCTTGGACTACGAAGTCATAGGACCAAAGAAATTCTCTCCAAAGAGGGGAAAGTAAAATATTTCTCTATAGCTAGAATGTGGGCTCTTTAGATAGTTATGATATTCAGCTTGATAAATAATTAAAAATGGAATTCAAATAGCTTTACTTGAAAGGCAGAATAAATTTGCATCAATATAATGGCTGAGATGGCTGTTGTTACACTGTATATCAGTATAATTAGCTTAATTATAACTAAGCTATAGTTACATTAATTATATTTTTAACCTTGATTTTTTTATAATGTTAATTGAGCATTAGTATTCACTGAATGGAATATGCAGTTCTGAGCACAATGGAATGTCTAACTACTTTTGCAATTTGTAAATTTATATTTCATTTTGACTAATTAGTGGAATTTATCTCTCTACTGAAGCCATTGTAAGTACCCTATATATCACTGCTTTTATTTTAACTACTTTCATGCAGAAAAATTATACAAAAATGAAGCTAAGCATGCAGCAGAGTCAATAGTGAAACAAATTTTTAAAAACAGCCAAAAGGCTGATGTTGGAGGTACGGAGTTGTTACCTGGAAGCTACAGAATCACAGAACGGTTGAGGTTGGAAGGGAGCTCTGGAGATCATCTAGTCCAACCCTCCTGCTCAAGAAGGGTCACCTAGAGCACCTAGGACCCCGGATTGTGTCCAGACAGCTTTTGAATGTCTCCAGGGAAGGAGACTTCACAACCTCTCTGGACAACCTGTTCCAGTGTTCAGTCACCCTCACAGGAATTTTTCCTCATGTTCAGACAGACCTTCCTGTGTTTGTGCCTGTTGCTTCTTGTCCTATTGCTGGGCACCACTGTGAAGAATCTGGCCCCGTCCTCTTGACTGTTTCCCTTCAGATACTTATACACATTGATCAGATCCCCTCTCAGTCTTCTCTTCTCCAGACTGAACAGGCCCAGCTCTCTCAGCCTTTCCTCATAGGAGGAGAGATGCTCCAGTCCCTTCACCATCTTAGTAGCCCTTTGCTGGACTCACTCCAGGAGCTACATGTCTCTGCTGTGTTGGGGAGCCCAGAACTGGACACAGTACTCCCAGTGAGGAAACTAAGTTGAAACTAAGGTTGTACCTTTGAATGTCAAGTCACAGCTACCTCAGCTATGTTGCAGGTAACCACTGTAGCAAATAAGGACCAAATCTATTCTCTGTATTAAGCAGTCTCCTGGAAACCACAGGCCCAATTCACATGAGAAAGAGGAGCAGGTTTTGTCCAAGATCATTCTTGTTTTGTTTTCAGTGTCGGCAAAGGCTTTTTGACTGGAGCGTACCTTTCATGGCTGGGATCAGATTTGTGTGTTTCTTTTGCAACACACAAAAGAAATGGATTGAGGCAAAAGGCCTTAAAATGATTAATAAAGAAACAACTCTGAATCAAAAATTCAACCCCGCTGAGTTTAGTAAGAATTCTTTGCCTTGCAAGGCTGTAAGTTTCTTTCATCAAAACTGCAGAACTTTGCAAGATGAGCACTTCAAACCGGCAGAAGCCTTCTTGTGTCCTGGATTTTTTTCAAAATGCTTTACGCTGAAGTTTCATCATTCTCACTGTATAAAGGGAGACCAAAGCATTTAGGCAGAGGATGGAATACAGTGTTTTCCATATTTCAAGTGCTAGACTGAAAATATCATATAATAAAAATGTAAATTTGCAATTTTGAATTTGTATTTAACATAAAGTATTCTGGATGCGTTCTGTTGTTTCCATCAGTTGCTGTTTGACTTTACAAGAAAAATTAAAGAGTAAGTGAAGTGAACGTGACAATGTAGTCTAAAGATTGAGCCTTCACAAGGAAGGAGAAAACCCATGTTCTGTGTCAGTTCAGTATCTTAACTTGATCAGGACATGCAACCAGTTCCATGCAGAATTTGAAGATAACTATTACTCAATATTTCAATAATGACACAAAGTCCCGTATTAGTATAAATGTCTGCTTTCTTGCATATATTTTTTTTTTTTTAGCTATTATACTGGCATTTGTTATGTCTACTGCTGTCTTCAATTACTACAGACAAAAAGATTGAGAAGGGTTGGAATTTGTAATTGTATATTCTTTCTCTCTTTATTCATAAAACAAATAGTTTTTTCTTCCTCTCTCTCCTGTTGTTTACATGAATGGCCTAATGAGAAATGCTAGTATGCTGGTAATAAAAGGGCAGAAGAAGGACATCTGTTTTTCTCCAGCTTGAGAAAAAATTCAGTATGTTGCTGTATACTAATCTATCTTTGAGGAAAATATAAAAATACATATTTCCATTTTTATTCCAATAACATCATACACTAAGGAAGAAGAGGAGTATAACCAGTACAATGAATAGCATCAGAATTTTTTTTTTAAAAAAATGAAAATCCTGTACTGAAAAGGTTTTTCTGATGTAATATCATAAGTACTTGAAATGTTCATTTTACCTATGCATGTGAAAATGAAATTTGAAAGATCTGAAAGATAACAGAATTCCAAGGAAAATTAATTTCTGGAGATGAGGGCAGGTTTCTTTCCTAAGGTATATATTATGATTTAAAATTATGCTGTGTTTTTCTTTCATCTCTTATTTCAGTACTCGGCAAAACCTTAGGACCTGGCAAAACAAAACTGAAGGCTTACCTCTAGCCTTTTTGATTTGGAAATCTGCTTAGTGATATTGTTGAGGGAAGAATAGGTGTTGTACTGCACATACCAAAAAATCCCAATAAAACTCTGGATTCTTCATATGGCCTTTTTTCTTCTGATCAGAGTGTTTTCTGTCTTATGACAGATACAGGCATCTCGAGATGGGAGAAAAAAATAGCTCCATGAATTCATTAGGGAATATATTAGAATTTCTTTACTAATGAGAACTCTTAAGAGTTCAAGTTCAGCACTAATGGATACAGCTGCAAAAAAAGGACCAAACTGAGTAAGAATATTTAACAATCTATTCTTGCTAAACTCTTTATGAAAGCTGAAGGTCACTGAATGGGATGTGGTGTATATAGGGCTGCGTGCTTTGTAAGAAGCCCAACACTAACATGGTGTCTGTACAATTAGCACTTGGGACACTGAAGTATTTTTATTTTCTGATGCAAACTGAATAATTGATGCCTAAGATATTTCTATCTAAAGAATATAAGATGTCTGGTTTTTTGTATTGTTTTTTCTTTTTCCAGCCATGCTTGCTTGCTTTTTGTTCTTCATGGTGTGGATTCATTCCAGATTGGATGCACCTATCCAGTTGTTGGGTTCATGCTGAGAAAATGTCTCCAAAATTACTCCTGCATGTGATTTGTTCTTTTGTGACTAAATTTGGCATATTACCAAAAGCCCAGACTCATTTCTCCAAAGAGAGCAGCTGCACCAAAAAGAAACCGTATTACTGTGCCTGAATCTTCCTAGTGTAACAGACCTTAGAGACATCTCTTTCAGTGTTTAGTGGGATGTGTGTAGCATTTCAGTATAGATAATGTTTCATCATGTTAGAGTTCATAAAAGAAAGAATCCACTGCTTCTGACAGGTTATTCAAAAGGATCTACATTAATAAATCCATACCCTATACTAAAGATGGCCTTAAAACTCATTTGATTTATGTAAGGCTGGAAACTGAAATGGGAAAAATTTTCTATAAACTTTGTTTAAAATAACCCCTGAGTGGATATAGATTAATGAGAAAGTACACTTCTGGCATCCTCTCTCTCCAGCCCCCAACCTTTTTCTTTTTTGCTAGGTCTTTTTCTAGGGAGACAGGCAGTTAACTTCCCTGGCACCATTTAAACCCTCAAAGGTACTAAAATTTTATATCCTTGCCATTAAAAGTAGAGGCCCATTCTAATTAGTCCCCAGCGAGGATGATCATATCATGGTAATTTACCTTTTGACAGCATTAAAATACGGTTTGATGTTGTGGTTCATCATGTAAAATACAGAGTTTGTATTTTCTCTTTCTCCTCAGACTCCTGAATCTTGCTAAGGAGCAGGAGAAACCCATTTATACTTTCACTAGTGCAAGTATTTGTAGACCCTGATGTTTATTTTGTATCTAAATTATTAATCATACATTTAGTTCCATTAACTAGAAACAAAACACATTTTCAGAAGGGTGAAACCATTCTGTAATTCTCTTTTTAAAACTTTCTTCTTTCAAAGCTCAGTTTTTTGTATTAAGTATCTTAATTTTGACAGGTCTCTTCTATAAATCAACATCACTAAATGTTGGTGTAGATAGTGGAATAAATAGGATAGATTTGGTGTCATTGTGGGTAATGAGCCACCCTTGCCATCAAGCTTGCTTCTTAGCAGTGAATGTGGTTTCTGGTAAAGCTGTACAGCTGCAAAGAGATGGCCAAAATATCTTGTGGGTGCTACTAGGATAAGTGATGAGAAAGAAGAGATTCAAACTCGTTTACCTTAGAGTTGAAGGTGACTCTTGAAGACTCTCCATCCTAAGGGTGAAAACCAGGACTTTATTTTTTATATCAAGTTTTAAAGTCTCTTCCTTTTTTCTTTAATCAGGTCTGAAATGGATATACTGTCTGCCAGCTCTGAAGGCGTTCTCATTGGCTATTGCCCACAGCAAGATGCCCTGGATGAACTTCTAACTGGCTGGGAGCATCTTCATTATTACTGCACCTTGCGTGGAATTCCAAAACAACATATCCATAAGGTAACTATCTAGAGTAGTTTTGCAGGGAGAGCTGGAGCCAAGTTGGGCCATGGAGTCTATAAAACAACTGCACTATTTTCCAGTAGAAAATATCCAGTATTTCATCTTAACAACTTTAGTAGTAAGAGTTTTCATTATAACTACTTTGTTTAAACAGTATGGTTTTCTTCCCCCTCTGTTACGCTAGTTTAAAACATAATAACAACCCTGAGGATAATAGAACTACATGAATGCAAATGCAGTCTCAGGTATATAAGCTCTCAAGGAATGAAATGAAACGAACAGTATGTGCAATATAACACCTTCATTATTGCGCTTTGAGATATGGGCTGTTGTAAAAGTTCTTTGCACACAGCTAACACGCAGCTCCCACGCAGCGTAGCATCATTAAGCAGGGGTGTCTGAGAACTAGGAAGGAACATGCACCTCTGAAAACCCCTTTTCTTCAGCAAACAGGATTTAACTCTGAAAGAATTAAGAACTGTTGCATGTCTATAGCAATACGTTAAGCTTGTCTGGAAACACATCTGGGTGCTGAGGCCACATGGCAGAGAATAGCTAGCTGTGAGCACTGTGCTAGTAAATGTATTAACTTTAAGAAGATGGTGGCAGCATTCAAGCTGTCTGTCGGGAGCAGTCCCTAAAACCTTCCAGCTGCCCTGCCAGTCCTGGGGTTGTCCAAGGAGAACTGGCCAAACCCTTGCCAGGAAATGTTTTAAGGACTTAGTAACACAGATATTACAATATCTGGGAATGTCTCGGGGAGTGTTTTAATTTACTGATACAGGTGTAGCTTTGCTGACCAGCAAACAGAGCTCTTTATCTGTAAAGAGCCAATCACACAGACAATACCATGAATTAAGTTATGCATATAGGCTTTCTCCCAAATGGGTACAGTGTAAAACACGGGTTTTTTTCTGTCTCTACAGATGGAAGTTTCTAATCTGACCGGGGCTCAAGCAGCTCAGTTCCTTATGGTTAATTACGTTTTTATTAACATGTGAGAACTGGAGTGCGATATGCAGTCCGTGTCATAATTTCCCATTCTGGCCGTATGGGTTGGTCGCACATAGTTATTATAGTTGTATGTTAGCCTAGATTGTCCTTGAGACTTGCAGGATGCTACCTGCCTTCTTCCTGTAGCAGCTTTTTCCGGGAGCAAAACTACACTGGAATCTGTCCTGTCTAGCTACCTATCATTGTCCCAGCTATTGCCTCAGGGTCTGCAAAGTGCTTTACACTGATTCCTTGTCTACGTGACAGAGTGGACTAGACGTTCTTCTTTTGGTTCTTTAGTGCTTTTTTCTTCAACAGCTAGGTACTGTTCCAGAAAAAGGTATTTCCTGCCATGGGATATTGAGTATTCAGAAATACTCAGCTTCCATCTTACCCTAATAATAGTGTCATGTTAGACAATATGTTAAATGTGTTCTTTCTTAAGGTGGTTGGCTGAGTGTTTCTGAATCAGAGGTTGGGGGGAAGTTAAAGGTCCTTCCAAGCCTTTACCCCTTTCCTTGGGCAGTGTGCTTAATAGAGCCTGGCTGAACTTTAGTTTATAGCCCTAACAATACACTTCTTGCAGTCTGCTTAGATTGTTTTTCTTAGCTCCTCTTTGGTAGTTTTTGCTTCAGGAGTAGCAAAAGTGGCAGAGTTCTGCAAACTTCAAGATGTGTTTCCCTTGATATAAAAGAAATATATTAAGGTATAATTGTTATTGCACTAAATCCCTCAACTGTAATTACCTGTCATCTCCATGAACTGACAGTTTGAACAAACTCTACAGCTGGGCTAAAAGCCCATCATAACTGGCACCTATTATGGTGCTTTAACAGGCACATGGGTAGCAGCAGATTCTGGCTTCTGTCCTAAAACTATGTAGTCATTCAAAAAAATGCACTTAACTTATAGAAGAGGTATGGATATTTATTGAATACTTTTCATTCTAAGTGTAATTTAAAACAGGAAATCAAAGTTTGATTACTTAATTATGCAGCAGTGCTCTTAAAATGGTGTTAACATGGCCCTTAAGCTTTTCTGTCTTACTGTCCTTTCTTATGAAAATGGTATAGTTATTGTAAATGAAGCAGTTTTTAAGACAGTCTCAGAAGAGCGTAAGCTTTAGAAGAACCTAAATAATATAAGTACATAGTTCCAATGAAAATTCAGCGGGGGGTCGTGTACATACAGCGTTGCTCTCAGCAAGCTGACTGTAGGACACAGAGTTAGACGTACTCTCCCTTTGTAAATAGACTGAAGCACATAAAGCTAGGTGGTGATCCTCTGAGAGAGGAGTGGAGCAGGAATGAGTCTGTGGTGGTAGGCTAAGGACTTCCCCACAGTTCAGACAAAGGCCTCGGTCTTACTGGAAGAGTAAGAATTTTTATAGCCCACTTACGTCTGCCAAGAGGATTGCCTTTGAGTGAGAGCCGAACCAGGGCTTTTAGTGCTGTGCTCCCTTTGTGACTCCTGGAGTCACAGGTTCTTAGCTACTGTTTTATTTTAGTACTCACAGCTGTATGTAAAGTCTGTTAAGGTGGTTCTGCCAGACACCTTTTTATTGGTAATTCCTCATCTGCAGGCAAGTGGAGACAGTAACTTGGAGGAGCGTGAACTGACCCACGCGTTGTAATAGGCTGTTAATTCTTTAATCTCACACTCTGAGCAGGCCCTGTCGACACCACATAACAGAGGAGAGTGTGTGTGCGCGCGCACATGAATCCTGCTGTTATTGCTTAATTTGTGACTCTTTCGGATCATGCGGCCGCCCAGCAACAACTCTTTTGAAGGCAGCTTTGCTGCCTGGATGAGGAGCAGGCTCAGAAGCTGTGTGCAGCCTTGAAAATAGGGATAGATATATGATGTGCTTAAGGACCTAGATTTCATAAATTTAGTACTGCGTGGGAGAGGCACTTTATCTCAGGTGTTTGGGAAATTTTCCAGATTGCAATGAGCAGGATGGTATCAATAGATTTCTATGCTGTGCCTGCAGCGTTTCTCTCTGCATGTGCATATCTAAATAAAAACAATTGTAAATGCAGTCTCCTGTCTCTGTTTGGTGAGGAGCCACATGGTTAAGCTGGCTTCGTATACTTTCACTACAGATAGTGAAAATTTTGCTTTCTATGAAAAATCTAGCATTTTTAAAACCCAGTTCAAATACGTAAGTACGTATAACTGGTGTATCTAAGAGCTTCCATTTTATATTCAGATCCTGCTATTCTCTGGATGATTCATACACAGATACTGCAATGGCTGTTCTCAAAGCTTTTCGGAGAATAGTTCCTCAAATGGTGCTGTAATTCGCATACTGTTTCTGCTTCAAATGGATCAAAATCAATTCCTCGTTTTTCAGAGAGGAGTTACGTTACTACGGTGCACTAAGAGAAGATAACCGTTAATCTTCTGATTATCCTGAACCTAAGAGGATCTAGGTTTAAGCCAAGACCTTTCTTTATATTCAGCCTTTTGTGCCTTGCTTTCACATCTGTAGTATAGAGATCATTTTTCCTTTCAGTCATCCTAATTTTTTTGTCTGCATAGATTGCAGGCAGACTTTGTTGCCATATGCTTGGAATCAAGGCATTGAAAGGCTCCTGCAAATATTATTTAGCAGCTCTGGTTTGACTTCATCAAAAACTGAAATTAAACTATCTCTGAGCAAAACAAATGTTTTTTGTCAGTGGATCCTACCTGCTGTGCGGTAATGCTGTGAAGTGTTGAACAGCTGCTGTGTTTCAACTCAGAAATGGCTGATGCCTGCAGAAAGTCTGCGTTTTAGTTGCCTGTAAAGAAAATAAGGCCTGGGAATGCTTTGGAATAGCAGCTGTACAGAAACGTAAGCTGCTGTTTTCTCACTCCCTCCTGTCTATGGTATGGTGTTCCAAGCCTGCCTCTGAGCATTTACCAATATGTGTTTATGCTAACATGCACATATATCTATATTTTAGGAAGTACCTGGTTTTCATTACAAAGCAGAAAGCGGTATATACCTAATTTATTTTTTTAGTAAATTGGCAAACAGGCAGGTGTCTTACAGGATGCGTTGCTGCTGAGGTAACCTATTGAAGCACTAACTTCAAGGATCAAATCCTTTGCTAGGCAGATTTATCAGCAGCAGGAGTTAAGTGCCTGACATAAAGTTGAGTGCACTTAATGTTGCAAAACAGTAATTAACTGAATGGGAAAGGAGGAGAAAAACAGGTCATTTGCTATCAGCGTTAAACTTCATGCGATGTGAAGTTATACTTTACTTCTCAAAGGTGCTCTAAAAGTTACTTTTTGCTGCAGAACTTGAAGAGGTTGGAGTAGAGCATGTCGGCCATTTAGACAGATGCTAGATTAACATAGCCATTTTTAGTATTTTTTTATTTAATACATAAAGTTTCAATATCTCAATTTATTACAAAAGACAGCATGTAATTTATTAGAAATGTAAGAAAACTAATAGAGCACTACTTGGTGTTTCCCATCTACATTAAAACTTATTTATACGTTGTCTATGTCAAACCAAACTTTATCAGCCTTCAAAGGCAACTTCTTGCAATGTGAGTATGGTTTCTCTTTATTAAATTCACTTTCCAGGTATATTTTTGCACTAACTCTGGAATCTCCTTGACCTCCTTACATCCTATATTTAATAGCCACTGGAAACAGGAACTTGTAAAATTGTTTAGTCCTTGCATGTACATAGGGGTTTGCCTTTTTTGGACCCCAAGCAGAATTAGGGTATACAGTTTTATAAGACAGTGGGATAAAGAATCATTTTCCCAAGAACTTTGGCCATGAGTGCATGCTTTTCCTGCCATAAGAAATCTAACAGTTCTAGCTTTAATCTGAAGCAGAATAAGTCCTGTTTTGTGAGGATCTGATAAATGATTGTTATTTAGGATATTAAATCTGCACAGCATTCAAACTTACTCGGAACTTGAAATTTTGACCAGCTTTTTTGGAAATGTGTAACTAATGTTTGAGTAATTTTTGAGGTGGCTCTAGAATTAATCTCATGTTTATTATCATTATTAGGTCAGATTTGCTTTATGAGCTTTGCTCACAAGATAATGAGGAGTTGTGCAGTATATATATCATTTCAGAAATTATGTAAAATTAATATACTGATGCTTACAGCATTTCAAGTTGAATAGAGAGGAGCAATATGCTATGATATTTCTAGTCTTCTGATAGATAGTCCTCTCTTAACTTCAAGTTTTTCTGGGAAATATGCTAAGTGGTAACTCTCAGTACCACTTAATCTTTTTTACCTGAATGTTAACGGTAACTTCAGAAGAGACTGGAATATAACCACGCGGTTACACGTTACCGTCGCTTACTACTTTTCAGTGAGCCAGAAGTACTTCTTGGTTCGCTGGTGGGTAGAAGACACCATGCCTACTTTAATCTTTACTCCTGCAAATATTAACATGTGTGCTGAAATTCAATGACCTACCTCCCTGCCTCTTCTGGAATTAAATGTAGTCTTTAAGAAATGCACAAAATATTGGAGGATTTGGCTTAGCTTTTACAGGTTAAAGGGCTGATTCCAATGCCTATTCCAACGTTGATGCGAGTTATTCCAAATCAATTTGAGGGAAAAGAGAATTTTTGCTTAAGATATTAGAACTAGGTAGAAAAAACCCAATAATTTTAAGGGATATTGAAGACTAATGGGTAAATTGTTAATTTATACATGTAAAGCCTGTTAGCATTGTCAGGGTTTGGGGGTGGAGGGGGAAGAAAAGAGTTTAAATGCATACTACAGACCTGACTCAACGTAAATCATCTTTGCGGTGAAAATGAAGTCACAAAACACAGATTTGCATGCAATGCTAAGCATTTTTTAATTTGACTTCAGTGTTACTAACTTGCTAAATAAATTGATGCAACTCCTCACTCTTCAGTGCTGGAAGTAATTGAAACCAGAAACAGAACATCGTGATGAATGCGACAAGGAGGAGGGAAAGTGATTGTGTATATATCTCACCTTTACTAAAGGAAGGAAACCATTAGAATTGTATATTTCTTGCATAATTGTGTGTATCTGTTTGAAGATTTGTCACTTGTCCAGTTCTAAATTTCTATTGAAATAGAGTGATTTTCATTTTTACTTTATAGTATACTATGATGCAGACCACAAGACACCACAGGCTATACAGACAAATGAAGTTGTAATGGAGATGTGCAGGCTACTCCACAATATGTCTAATATATAATAGATCTAATTGCATTTAGATGACATCTTCATTATTATTTAGGTCATAGTGATGAAGCTTGAGACTTACTACTGGAAATATAGCATACGTTGAAGAAGAGAGAGAAAGAGTAGGGGTCACCTCTTGAAGGAAGAACTGAGTTCTGTATTCATGTATCAGTTATTTAATAACTCCTGAAATGTGTTATAGTTTTCAATGCATTTTCTGTATAAATAAGAGGTCACACATTTTTTCACTTATTTAAACATTTTATGATTTTTTTCTGCACAATTCTCTAAATGTAGGTGGATTTATAGAAGAAAAGTGCTGTTAGTAACATGCATACGTTCCCAGTGGTACTTAAGTCAGTCAGTTTAGTAGAGCAGATAAGCTGCCTACTATATACTTTAAAGGTAATGACTTTACAGGCTATTTCAATAGTTTTTTTCCTTTTTAGTTTAAATACACCTCTTTATACTTTTTTTTTTTTGGATGCTGGCTGATGATAGAGAAATGGGGTACATCAGCTTTTGTATAATGAGAGCTATGTTTGGAAGGGAAAAACCCTGCTCAGCTGTTATATGAGACTCTTGACCGTTTCTAAAGCCACAGAATCTTAAAGATTGCTGCACTCCTACTGTTAAGCAGCAGCAGTGCAAAATGGACTGAATTATAGCTATATAGAAATAGCAGAAGACATTAACTTTTCAATTTTAAAAAAATATCCATATGAGTGCTTTCATGGTTGTTGATTAATTTGGAGGGGGAAGGGGGTTTTAATTTTTAACCTCTGCATTTAAAATAGAGCAATGTTTACAAAACAGAGCTTTTTTCTGAAAACTTGCATTGCTGTCAGGTTGTGCATTAATGTACATAGAACACAAGCAACTTTGTCTGCCAGTGCCAGAATCCCTACAAAAATACTGCATGTTCTCATACTGTGGCATTGTGCCTGCTCACAACGAAATTCCTCTTGGAAACATCTCTTATTTTTAGACGTAGTGCTGAAAGAATCATGATAATTTTGATAATTTCCTAAGGAATTTGCATAAAACTCTTATCAAAAATATGGTCATGCTCATAACAGTTTATTTGGAAATGTATAGTGAAAATTAATTCACAGTATTCCTTATTGGCTTTTTTTTTTAATTGGCTTTCCTGAATTAATCAGACAGCATCCATCGGATCAGACTTTAATCCTTCCAGTGTTCCTTGTCTTTTGCGGAAGTCATTCAGGGAGTGCAGAGGGAGCAAAAATAGCATGCAGTACGACGGGGCAGGTTCTGGCAGTTGATCTGAGAGAATAGTTAAAAGCACTATGTAACTACTTGTTTTGCAAGAATCCCCCAGCTGCGCTGCGCCCACCATAAAGAAAGACCAGCTGTATCACAGACTTGCTTGTCCCTTGATGGTATAGTTGACCGGCAGCTTGCCGCTAACCACCTGCCGATTTGCAGGACGTTATCTGCTAGTGGTGAGTAGGTGAGCCGCTGCCGTTCTCACGTTCTCGCACGAGGGCTCCCTGGATGGGCCGGCAGTGATAGCTGATGCAGGAGGAGCAAGGCAGTTGCTGCACTTTAAATTCTGTAGCGCCGATGTCGGAGGGAGCCTTGAACGTTAGCGCCGTCTCTGACACGTGCAGAGGAAAGCATGAATTTAGTCTCCAGCGGTGGCTGTCACCGCTTACTCAGCTTACTCTGGTCACAACCGCTAGTTTAACAGATTATAACTAAAAAAGAGAGCGAGTCAGCTTACCCGTCACCATTATTAGAAAGGTATATTAAATGAACCTTAAGTTACCTTTGGTCTTTAAGAAACTCTAAATCCTTGACCTGTGACTTGCTTTTCTGCCATTTCTGTCTTTTTGTGGTTGATGTAGAATTTTGTTTCCTGAATTTTCTATCATTCAGTAAGTTTGTTTGATCACATAAATACTGCAGAATGAGATGGAATGAGGAGCATTTTAAATTATTGACTTGGCAACTGAAAAGGAGTACAAATGACTTAAAAGAGATGACAAAGCCAAAATTTCCATATAGGAAAACCCTTATCCTTTGGAGGAAGGGAAGGGGTCCTGGAGCAGCTTTTTGTGCGGGTGTAAAGTTCAAAAATAGTGATATGCAGCAGATGATGGGAAATAAGGAAATAATTTGTACATTTATTTTTAATATGAATGAACTGAGTACTCTTTCAGTTTAAGCACAGGTGCTGCCTGACTTGGCTTCTCTTTGCCAACGTGCAGTTTTCTGAATTGCAGGTAGCAGGGGACCTTGTTAACCGGTTACAGCTCAATGCCCATGTTGACAAACTGGTGAGGACATACAGTTGTGGCACAAAGAGGAAGCTCTCTACTGCTGTGGCTTTAGTTGGCAAACCCCAAATACTTTTACTGGTGAGTAAAGGCAGTACTGTGGCTGCTTTAGAAACATGGAGAAGTGGCTTGCATTGAATTTCATTGTTGTGCATGTTGCTATTAAAAAAAAAAACAACACACACACACACGCACGCAGAGAGAGACATTTTCCCGGCCAGTTTTCTGGAGTAATTGATAGACAAGTGTACAAGCATCCTCTCTGTTTTGCTTTTTTATTTTATACTCCAGTGCTCACAAATCTGGCTCTGAAATTATGTGTGTTTGTATGTGTGGTGTTTTTTTTGTTCCTCACTTGGGGTGTCATGGTAGGGAGGGGATGAGGGCCCTAAACAAGCACAGATACAGCTGTAATATCTTGTGGCCCATATGGGTACCTTTTTTTTCAAAAAAAAAAAAGATGTCTTTATATAGAAAAAGAGAAATATCATTTACTGTAAAATACAATAATGTATTATGTATTCTCTATTTGCATATAACATGAGAAAAATATATATATGTGAGTGTATATATATATTATATATATATATATATATATATATATATAAACAATTCTGCTCGCTTCCTCAACAGTGAATATTTTGATTTTAATTAATAATTTTCTGCTGGTGTTTTTAATTACTGAGCTTTTTCATGACGTGTATTCTTTGCTACATGTCAAGCTCCATAAATCTGGATGGTTTTTATATTTTATTTTGTACACAAATCATGCAATCAAACTTATACTCCTGAATGGGAATAAATTATTTATCCCATGCTGTCTTAGTGCCTGCATCCTGCTATTCCCAAGTATGAACTCATTTAGGCTAGTTTTGCCTTCCAGTTTAAACAATGCCTTTTGTATCGAGGAATTACAGGGATCAGGGAATTACACACTATGGGAGTTGCATCGTTATTACACTATATTCTTTATCTCATCATTGCATACAGTTTCACTAGAATAGATTAAACATCCCTTTCTTAAGCCCTGGATGGGAAGAGCTAAACTAGTTCAGTGGCGAAATAAACTTTTCGGAAGTGTTAGGAGGAGGTAATTGTTACCCTCGAAAGTTGAGAGGGGAAACAGTACTCCCAGTAATAGATCACAGATTAAATAGAACTTGATTAAATTTGTGTTCTCATGGGATTCATGAAGTCAGATATGTTCCAAAAACCGGAGGTATTTTCCTGCTAACTTCCTCGCTCTTCCTATCTCTTTTAATTGCCTCACTTCTAGGCTGAATGATTTTATTTGCATTTTGTTTTTACACTGACCCTGATTCAGCTAGTAAAAGAAGGAGATAATCTTGAATAAGTGCTTTTTCCTGATCTTAGAAAATGCTCCCACTGTTTTGTAATCTTTTTATGACAGCATGCTACTGCAAGTAGCCACTTCAACTTACTTGCTGCAAGGCACACATTATTGCATATATAATGACAAGAAGCAAGAAAAACACCCAGATATGTCAAATACTTTAAAAGATTTGGGTGTTTTTGGAAGGCTGTCAGGTTTTGAGGATGTTATTCAGTATTGTAAAAGATTTTCTTTGTCTAAGAGGCATTGGCACCAACATAAACCATTGAATCTGCTTCCAGCTTGCGTTTAGAGTATCGTAGCTTTTAATTTAGGTGATAGCTGGATTGGTTTTTTTTTAATGATCTTTGCTTTTTTACTTTTGCTTTGCCAGCTCTCCACATATAACAGGAGACCAAACTGAATTTGTTTTCCCTTCTGCCACTGGTGGCTAAGCAGCAGAATTGGTATCAGACAGGATGCTCTGTTTCTTGAGAACTTTTCTTAGAGGCTTCAACTAGGAGTCCTCAATGCAAAATACACTAGGCAAGCCCATACCATCGCAACAAGTGCTGATGCTCCTCACGAAATTTTACGGTATTAAAAGCAACTTGAAGAGTTTCCTTTGCCTTAGGTTTGATGTGACAGAGAACGACTTTTGACAATAAGATATCATTCCTTCTGCTTCCGTGAACAGACAAAGTCAAAAATTGTTGTACTAGAACAGCATGATTAGATAGGAAGGGGAAACGTAATTTTGTAGCTGCAGTTCTTTCTACATGGAAGCCATCTGAGCTAGAAATGGGGCAAGCCACAAGGTGTGCGTCAGGCAGTGCTGCCAGGATTGTTGTTTAATCTTATGAGTTCTTCCAGCCGTGGATGAGAATCCCTCTTGAAGGGAGGTTTGGGAGTGACTGCTGGGGCATTTATAATCCAAACATACTGTACGTGGCTGGGTATGGTACATGTGGTGGCAAGCAGCCTTGAATTTATAGGACTTTTGCTCCAGTTGTTTGTGCCCATGGCAGCCCTGTATGTAAGGAAGAAACAAGCGTCAAAGCCTCTCTGAAAGTGAGAAAATAAACTGCAAATCTCTCCTACAAAAATGTATAAAAATGATTGAATAAAATTGTACGCATTTAATTTAGAAATAAAGTTGTGTGTGCTAGAGCAAAAAATTGGTAAGGGTACCTTTTAAGTGACCTCTTGAAAACTTAACTTGTTTAGAGAAAATGACATGCTTTTCCTGTGAGTTCTGTTAATTCTTCATGCTGGGCTTGAACTGTGGTGTTTTTCCCCTGATTAATTGCTGTATTGTTGTTTTTATTTTTCCTGTAGGATGAGCCCAGTTCTGGGATGGATCCCTGCTCTAAACGCTACCTTTGGAAAACCATCCTGAAGGAAGTTCAGGATGGCTGTGCAGCTGTGCTCACATCCCACAGGTTAGAGCCCTTATCCTAGCAGCCAGCATCTTCCCACTTTCTCTCCTTGGCTGCTGTTGATTGAGGGCAGAAGAACATATTCTGAAGGCATGTTGGGGTGTGAAACTCAAGGAGTTATCTCAGTATTTTATGGCAATTCCTTCTTGCTCGTGAAAGCCAAACTCACGGAACGCCTAAATATTTTCTATATTTAATTTTCAAGGACTAGATTATGGCTCAGTGGCAATGCAGGTAGAAAAAAGACAATGAATTCTTCCTTTTGTAAGCTGCTTCTGTTCAGTGTTGCAATCTCTCCTGTTCCTTGAAATACCAGAGTTATCCTTTTGTGGTCGCCCGCTCTACAAAGCTTTCAAAGGGAGATGAGAATGGAAATCCCTCTTCTGACTTTATCAAGGATTCTGGTTTGTATCAGGATATGAAAGAAGTATGCCATGGTATCTTAAAGACAGGTGCAATAGATATTCATTGTATGTACTACAGGAATTGTTAGGAGTGACCCTATCTTCTTTGAAGAATGGATCTGCATTAAATATCTTGTCAGTTCTCTGATATGGTCATTGGTGTCTCAGTTTAATGGAGGAAACATTGAAACTGTTTTGTAACATTGATAGTAAATGAAATAAATTACATGTTCCCTGAGGGAATATAGCATAGTATGGTTATATATAAAATGGCTTTAGCTGAGGGAGAGATCATGAAAACATGCCCAGAAGGGAAAGAACTAAATAATCAAAACAGCAACGTAACATTTTGGCCAAATGAAATATGAAGCAGTAGATGAAGCAATAAAAGAATGCAATAAAACGTTCCCTTAATATTTGTTAGATCCTGTTAAATTGTTCAGACGTTCCCAAAATGTGTTCTCGTCCCTGAACATGCATGTCCTTCAGTATTGCTGTAGAAAATGATCTCAGAAGTTTTGACTATTATATATCTAGAAATGAATTCTTTAACATCATATAGTTATGTAGAATATGCAGTATATTTGAACCCCAACTGTTTACCAGCTTCTTCAGTTCAGGAACAGAAGTTATGCAACGTGAGTTAAATTGAGCAGTCTTCAGAAAACAGTATAGTTTGACTTTTCAGTCCAGGTTAAGAACCCTCTGGTGTCAAGCGTCAGCTAAACAGAAGGTAATTGTGATCTCATTACTAATATGTTGTAACAAGAAAATAAACTAAATCCATCAAAAAAATTGTTACTAATTACTCATTTAGCTTGATGAATGAATGACTTTCAGCTGAAGCAGTTATAATGGTGGAGTGGCAGTCCACATAGATTTCATTTCAAATTAGTAAGATGTTTTTGTGCCAGGTCAGATGAAGGAGAGGTTATTTTGTATTTGCTGAAGGCTCTTGCAGATATCTGAGATACTTTACTTGTGTAAGTAGCCTTTGAAAGAAATGCACTTCAGCACATAAATGTACAAGGCACAGATATGGTTTCATGTGTTAAAAAATAGCATTTGAGGTCAGTTGGCTTCATTTTCAGAGAGAACATCTAACTGTTTTGTTCATTTTTTTAAGGGGGCAGAGGAGTGAGGTTGCATTAATTATCTATACCAGCCTAATTGTGTTATTTTGCCACAGCTGGTGAGTGTGATGCCAAGGAGAGCATTGGAAGGTACTGCACCACAAACAGACTTGGACATAGAGCTAATCTCCTGTTTTCTGGAAAGATATGCTAGTAGCATCCTCTCCATTTCTCTCAAACATAATCGCTTATGGTTTAGCAGTTCTCACCCTAACCCTGTCCCATTTTAAAAGTGTGCCTAATAGGATACTTCAGTTGCAATTCCCATGCTGTCATAGGTAAAAGCGCTAGAATTTGGATTGATACAGGGCTGAGTCTATCTCAGAGGGGTTGGGGAGCGCACACAGTGAACTGCAAGGACATCAAACAACTTTGGCATCTCTTTTATACGATGAGATGTGTTCCCACTGAAATCCTGTCCTAAATTCTGTTTGGATTGTCATTTTTTTGCATCTGCTCTGTCCAGCAATCAGACTGAGGCTAACTTTGCTTTATAAGGATATGTACCATAAAAGAAGCAGCTGAGCAAAATAACTTTCCTCCTCTTCCTCTGCCCCTTAGCTCAAAATGACTACAAGCAGGTATTAAGGGAAATAATGTTTACGGCTCTCATGCACAGTGGCATTGCTGAGATTGCCTATAAGGTATTTGCCTTTAGTAATAAAACTTTTGTATTGCGGCTAGAATTGTCCTATTAGTTTTGGACTACAAACATAAATTCCTTTTTTTGGCTTTCTTCTAGCTGTCACGTGGTAGTAAATTTTGATATGTACTGACTAGGACTGCAATTTGAACTGTTGACAAAGCCAAAGGTTTTGTGTAGCAATTTTTGCAGCTATCCAGTTTCTTTCCTTTTTAATTAAAAGTTAAGTATGAATATTGTTATGTTTTCACTATTATTCTTTTAATCTTTCCCCCCCCCCCAACCTTACTTTCTAGTATGGAAGAATGTGAAGCTCTCTGCACACGGCTTGCTATTATGGTCAATGGAAGTTTCAAGTGTCTTGGTTCTCCTCAGCACATTAAAAACAGGTATTATATGTCAACACCAAACCTTCTGTAGCGACATTAAATCTAAGAACTGGCGAGACATTTTAATAGTGCCAATAAGACAGAAATACTTAGAGCTGCCAGGCACATCTTTCATTTTCTCCTGTCACTTAAGTTAAAAGAGAGCCAATTAGGATATTTTAGCAAACTAAATTGACATGGCAATACTAAAATGCTTTGTAGTCTGCACTAGTAGTTGAAAGAGATAGATTTGTATCTAAATGAAGCACTTCTGCACTCAGTCTGAGAAATGCATTGTGAGAATTCAACATTTTGTCATATTATAAAATGCTCTTCTGTTCCTTATGAGGATTTCTTGCAAGAAGCAGCAGCACTTAACAGGTCAGCATCCAGTAAGACAATGTCTTTTGAACCATCTCTATCTCCTACCAAATTCACAGGTAATTGTAAATATTTAGACTGTGGTTTTCTCCTTCCTCTTCCTGGCCTGAATGAGCCTCCCTTGTGCTTTGCATTTGCTCATAGGTCTAAATTAATATCTGTAAATGGGGATGTTTGTTCTGATGATGAGCTCAAATGACCATTAAGAAAGCAGATCCAGAAGTGGAGGGGAAAGTTGGTGCAATTTGCGGCTGAAACATTTACATTCAGTATTAAAAAGAACTTTTATGACACGCAGTCAGCTGCGTAAAACGACATCGCTTGCTTGCGAGCAGCAAAGCTGCACTGATTTGCACCAGCTCAAAGTTTAGTGCTCTTAAGTGCAGGTACATTTGACAATGTAAACAAGTTCTACAGTAATGTTTTAGAGTTATTGCCTGTGATGCTTATAAGGCAATCTGTGTCACAGACAACTTTTGTCCCTGTGGAGGGCAGTTTTGGCTTTTTGTCCTTCGCTTTAGATACAACTGCAGACCCTCGTTTTGTAGCTATATTGGCATGGCAGGCCTGATTCATGTTGACTTTAATAAGCTCTTTCATTTTAGAATTTTTCATTTTTTGTTTTTTAACCGGCAAGACAGACTATCAGCTAGAGACCTTACAAAGGGGATGATGAAAAGAATAGAGGTCTGCGTCTACGTTTGTCATTGCTCTGTGGGATCATAGCCTTCTTTACAAGATTGCATGCCTTTCAGAAAGTAGCTACATCTATTTCTGGAGGCATGAGAAGTCAATCACCCTTCAGCAATTTCTGCTTCTTTTGTCTCTGGCTCTTTGTCAGCCTGTCTGCTCTTCTCAAATTTCACAGGTAGAGTGGCCTGTTGTCCCACTAGCTGAAGTACTTTAGGAGTGCGGGCCCCCTTTATTCCCCTTGTAATAAAGGAGAAAGGGATAGATGTCTGTGGAGGGCCATTCAGCTCTTGGGTGGGTGAAACTGCTTTTTGAAGATGTGTGTGCCCTCTGTTGAGGGCTACACTGTTACTAGGCTCCTAACACAGACGCTTCAGTCAAGTGCATAAGGTTAGCTGGGTAAATCTGGGTCTCCCTTTGCTCTGTTTCAGATTCTCTGGAGGGAGTGTGTGTCTGTCTTCTCAGCTTGACCTTGAAAGGGGAAAATCAAGCATTCCACAAAGACTAGGTTCACCTTTATCTTCAATGACTTTATCATTGTTTTACCACTCCTAATGGGCTTTTTTTTAGCAGTATCTTTTCATCTAACTTCTTAGGAAGTAAGACATCACAAACAAATGCTCAGATGTATGCACCGTATTCCTAAAAATAGCACACACATTTATCAATTTCTGTATACTGTCTCTGCAAATATACCTCTTTCAGATCATAGTAAGAAAAACAATGGAGCAGAAGAAACTATATGACACACGGGAAGTATCTTCAAATTAATTCTGATGGCATCAAAACATTCATAACTCAACCATTCAGAAATCAAGGCCACATGAGCTCCTCTTTTAAATTCTCCAGAGGAAGATCATGATAATAGTCACTAACTTCTTCAAAGGAATGAAGGGAAAGGAATTTTTCTGTATCTGATTTGATCTAAATTACTCCTACCATAAAAGTTATTTCTTTTTGGTGCGTGTGTGTTAATTTACTCTTATTTGTAAGCAGGTCTTGATATTTTTAGTCTATCTTTAATTTGTTTCTGCAAATCAGATTGAATAAATATTTAAAAATCAGTTGCAAGTCACCTGATCTAGCTTTCACTGGGTGAAAGAAAGAAATGCACATATTGTATAAAATTTTAAACCAAAGAAAACCTTCCTATGGCTTGTATTTATGTTAAATTAGTCCTTTATTGTAAGAAATAGCAGTAGGAGGATATTTTGGTATTACATGTGATAACATTAGCATGTATTAAGAATATTTTTTGTATTTGTAAACATAGTTACGTTCACATTTTTTCTTCCCTTCTTGGGGCTTTGTCTGTCTTGATGGAAATCCTCAAAATTATTTTCTTTTACTTTTATACCACGACAGCATGTGAAGTCGAGTTTATGATAATCTTTTTCATGGATCAGTGCTGAAGAGTTAATGGGTCGTCTTTGAGGCCATGTTAAGTTTGCTGCTTAGCTGTGATAGGAAGTTTCAGGGATTCAGCCTCCTCACTGAGTACACGTTCAGCTGTTGGCAGACGTGAAAGACTCTAGTCTTGGACTTAATACAGGTTTGTCAGATGGCAGTACAGAATTCTGCTGTGAAGGGTATATGGGTAAGCTCCAGGAAGATGCAAATGTGCAGCAGAAAAGCTTCTTAGGGATATAAAAAAAATGACAGATGCCGCTTCTAATGTGTGAGACTTGATTCATTTTTCCAGCTCTTATGCAAATCTGTTATAAATTGTTCATCCAAAAATATCTTTCTATTACAATTGCAGGTATCTGGGTTCTTACTCCCACCTATTGAGCCCTGACTGTATTTATCTGTGTTTGAATAGATTTAAAGTGCCTTCAGATGTTTCTCGGTAGTATAATAAGTGCTGGACTTCTTCAGAGGGCCTGTCATTGCAGGGGACAAATTTCTGAATAATATCAAAAAAGGTAATGTTAGCTGGAAAAAATGGGTCGAAGGATAATTTCCAAAAAAGTTAGTATCTTAGTTCTAGGTGTAGTTTGTATGAGATGGATGTGTGAGCAGTTGTGCCCGTTAAAACCTAATTTCGGTTGGCGCCTGCCAACTAAGTCAATTACTCTAGATTGTGAATGGATTACATTTAAATGTTCTCACCAGTATTCTCCATTATACTTAATGTCACAGAAGCATTTCCGTGTTAGATACAGCTGGCCAGTCCTCTGGGAACAACGTTTTGAATGCCATCCTTCATTTTAGGGCCATCTGGACAGACTTCTCATAGCCGAAAAACCCATACCAATTTTTCAAGTGCTGGATGCATATCAAGTCTGTGCTCAAATAGTATCAGCAAGCCATCTGATTAAATTACCCAGCAATTAATCCATTTGTTATAGCAGAGTTAGAATGGAAAATGTGTTGCCAAGCTATTTACATTTCACATTTTTTTTCCAAAGGTTGATTAAGAATATTTTATTGCTCTTCTCAAGACAACACACACATGTAGATTTCTTAAATGGGGAAGAGGATTAAGTTTAAAGATCTCATGAATATTTTGGCTTTCAGTGGAAACAGTGTTATCATACTAACAGATACAACAGTAAGTTTGTTAGTGCCATAAAATATACAAGTGATGAATACCAAGAATATAATTTTTATTCCTATTGACTAGAAAACATAAATTCCTTTTCCGTATAACAAAAAATATTAGGGCAGTGGATGTATACATGTGTATTTGTGTAATATAACTGTTTGTTTATCTTCCTAGAGGAAAACTTGAAGAAAAGAGTTCTGCAACCTTTAAAACACACAGATTAAAAGTTTGCACATGAGCATTGTCTTTGCACTTATATAAAACTGTTTGTGCAACGTTAATTCAACCCTACTGTGTGTGTGCATTCGGATATAATTTTTTTTGTGATTTTTTTTTTTTTAACAAAGTTTTCCACATGACATGGCAATATAACTGTGTACCCACTCATTTAACGAGTGGTAGCTAATTAAGATTTCGTGTTCTTCTCTTTCCTTAGTGGGTAATCTGTGTACTGTCTTTACCACACATTTTTTTCAGACCTGTCTGTAAGTATAGCATTATCAGCATTCATTGGTGCTATATCACAGGGCTTAATAAATATCAAGTCTATTTTTTCACAGCAGCTCTTGGAAAAAAAAAAAAAAGAAATTATTATTCCCATTTTACAGAAGAATATCTGAAGGGTGATGAACATGCTAAAGTTACAAGATTTTGGGTAGCTAATCCGAGCTGTTTATGGCTAAATATTTTCAGTGTGTTTAACATTACATACATAGTATTTAGTACTTTAAAAGCATAGCCAAAAGCACGGGGCCCATTAACTTCAGCTGTAGCTGTGAGTGTTTTTGAAAACACTGTGAATTCCTTCTGCAAATTGGAGCTCAGGGTCTCAAGGTGGGTACCTGTAAAGATAGGAAATTAGTTGTGAAAAATGTGGCCTAAGTGATCACACGGGTATGCTGGAGTGGAAGGATAGAATTCAGTTCTCCAGAGCAATATTCATCTCCCAGCAGCATGAACAACTTATTTCTCTTTTTCATCAATCTACTATCGTATTTGCAATGTTTTCCAAACGTTGCAGTAAATAAAGCCACTTCTTTAAGCACGTTGCTCCAGTATATCCTGTGAGCCATTCCAGATAGGGCTTTCTGGAAGAGATATGTGATGATGTAATTAAAAGGTTATAAAATAACGCAAATGTACCAATAGTTTAAAATATGAATTTCACAGCTGGCTTTCATTCTGTCATTTCATAACTTGAACTTGACTTTGAAATCTTGATAGCGTTCTTTTAATAGACATTTTAGTGTGTAATATCCTGATTGAAAAAAACTAAAAAAAAAAATCAGAAAAAAGAATCCATTTGATAACAATGCAGTGATACTGAAATTGTTGGAAACATGCACATTTTCGCTTAGCCAAAAAAGATTTAATATTAAATCTCAAATTTGATTTAATTCTG